TGAATGACGGAAGCGTATGATGTGGAGTAATGGGAACTATGCTATGTCTGGACGCGTGTGATGTGGAGTAATGGGAACAATGAATGACTGGAAGCGTGTGATGTTGAGTAATGGGAACAATGAATGACTGGAAGCGTGTGATGTGGAGTAATGGGAACTATGAATGACGGGAAGCGTGTGATGTGGAGTAATGGGAACTATGCATGACTGGAAGCGTGTGATGTGGAGTAATGGGAACTATGAATGATAGGAAGCGTGTGATGTGGAGTAATGGGAACTATGCATGACTGGAAGCTATGATGTGGAGTAATGGGAACAATGAATGACGGGAAGCGTGTGATGTGGAGTAATGGGAACTATGAATGACGGGAAGCGTGTGATGTGGAATAATGGGAACTATGAATGACTGGAAGCGTGTGATGTGGAGTAATGGGAACTATGAATGACGGGAAGCGTGTGATGTGGAATAATGGGAACTATGAATGACGGGAAGCGTGTGATGTGGAGTAATGGGAACTATGCATTACTGGAAGCGTATGATGTAGAGTAATGGGAACAATGAATGACTGGATACGTGTGATGTAGAGTAATGGGTAAAACCAAATATGATAAATAACCCTATTTCACCGTGTTATGACGCTACAAAACGCTGGACATATATAACGATTTAGGGAATATTATCTTCGCATGGAGTTGATTTTTTTTTTGAAGGATGAATAACATTCAGGGCCCCTAATATTGTTGCGTATCATATACACCCCACAGGCCTACATTTCTATCCTGACGGACTGAGTGAGCTCTCTCATGGCCATAACGTAAAAATCCACCGAGTGGGTAATATCCGAAAATGGCTGGAAGAGCAAGATAGTGACTTCACAAAATCCTTTTTGGCCAGCATAATCACCACATTTCAATCCAATTGAGGATTTTTGAAATGAATTTACACGTCGCATTTATCATCGTAATCTTTTATCGACATCTGAACCAGTTACAGACCATACTGCTTGGCAAATGAAAGATAAAATGATTTCTAAATAATAAAAAAAAAACTTCCATCATCTTGCAGAATATTTGCCACACCAAGTTCAGAGTATTATGCGATAAAAAGTGTTCCAACCTAACACTAGGTGTCAGTCTTATTATAGTGGCCAGTCAATGTAACATTTGGCTGCGTACTTTTGTTTTTATTAATATTAACACCTGCCACACGAGTCAGCCCGACATCTTGATGTGGATCAGAAAAGAAAAAAATAATTAATCGGAAAATGTTTGGATTGTTCTGATTAGACAAAACGAAGACGTTTAGTACCTTAAGGTCAATAAATCATTATGAGTGAAAAGGGGGCAAAACGCGCGCCTGTGAACTTTCTTTCACTGGCAGAGAATGTGTCTGTCTAATCTATTAATAAACTGGTGTTAAGAAAGTCTTGCTCTTACCATCTCAACACCTAAATAAAGGCACAGACATAAAAAACTATTTTTCTTATCCGATTTTTAAATTCAACGAACAGTTGACACATAGTCAGTTTGGGTATTTTATCCGTAAGAGTATGATTACTGAATGGAATTTTTAAATACCTGCACGCACACAAAACCGGTTTTCCTTAATCGATCGAGTATGTAAATTTATAAATACCACATTTGTTTAACTGAAAAATTCTCAAGATTATTATTTCATGAAAATAACATGTGCCTACAAACGAAGAACCTGTACTAAGGAATTTCGTTTAAAACACGACCCCCCCCCCGGCCAAATCAGCTATATAAAAAAGTGGACAGAGCTAAACTCAAACTATATTTATAAACGATAAAAAAACACAAAACCTTTAAAAACTTGAATTAGATCAAGGTTTCTGGTTGTCTATTTTTATGAATTAAAAAAAGCGTAGATACATAGATAATAAATTTATAAACGAAGAAAGACAGATAAAAATCCTATCAGTGATAATAAAAAAAGGTCATGTTTTTTTCAAATTACAGAATATTAAATATAAAAATACCCTCCCCTCCCCCCCACACGCGCGCGCGTGTTCAAACAAATACCCACATATTTCTATAAAAATATACCGGACTTTTTTCTAGCAACCTTGGGAATTGACATCAATTACCATTTTACAAATTTTCACTTTTGTTTTTAGCTGCAGGATTTATAAGTAACTATTTTCTGTCGTTGTAATTCTGTTTTTTATATCCTGTATTTGTAAAATGTTTCCTTTTTGTTGTTATTTTTTCGTTTAATTTCATACCGCCAGGGTATTTTTATGTTGTAAATTAAATGTTGGCTAAAGGAAGTTGTAGTCTGATTAATAATGTTCAAATCAAAAGTTTTGATCTGCTTAATTGATTTATGTTGTATAAGGAAGTTAATTCTCCCCCCCCCCCTATTTACAAAATACCAGTACCGGGGAGGGGGAGTTAATAATGTTTAATAATGTTCAAATCAAAAGTTTTGATCTGCTTAATTGATTTATGTTGTATAAGGAAGTTAATTCTCCCCCCCCCCTATTTACAAAATACCAGTACCGGGGAGGGGGAGTTGGATATATATATTATTGACCATCCTTCTTTACTTTGATAAATTCCCCATTAATTCATATTAAATTGACGAAATACTGAAAACGTTAAGAAAAGTAACTGTTATAAAATAATGTTTTACCAATAATGATTATTGTATTCCTGTCGCATGCATTTACTCTTTGCTACTTTATTATTATCTGTGACTAATATTACTGTAGGGCTATTATAGTACAAGTCTGAAGTAATTACAAATTGGGTGAGTAATAACTTATTAGAGTAATTAGTGTGACTGCACCTCACGAGCTAAAACGTCCACACTGATAAGTTGATTAGGGTCTCAAGTAAAAAAGACTCCTTTATTGTATATAGTCATTAGTTTTACATCAAATAAATGTTATTTTGGAGGAATTACTAAATCAAGAATCATAAACAAATATTCATATGCCGCGTGTTTGTTGATTTGTAATTTTTG